TTGGCCCCATTGCCCAGTGCTACTTCCACCGCCACTCGCGTCTTCCGTTGGTACAACTTCCGAGCTCCTGGCAACAGCTCTGTCACCTTTGACATGGTGGCACAAGACAAATCCGCCGATCACGCCGCCCTTGCGATCTATGTGGGAGAGAGCTGCGATTCTCTCGCCTGTGAACAAACCGCCACGGAGGGTACATCCGGTACTACCACTTGGACGGCCGTGGGAGGCACCATCTACCGTATCTTGGCCACACGCATCAAGGAGGACGCCGATGCCTTCACCGGCAGCATCCATCGCTTTGAGATCCAGGGTGCCACTCCCATGACGGTGTGCGAGTTGGATTTGGCCAATCAGCCCAGCTCTAATCACAAGCGAGAATGCTCCTGTAAAACGAACTTCGATTCCTACAAGAATGCATCCATGGAATGTGCCGATAAATGTGCCAATTGTCACGAGGAAGATGATGGTACTTCCTTCTGTTACTATCCAAGTGTTGAGCAGTACTACTCGGATGATGCCACCATTGGAGCTACTGGAGGCAAGCTTTGCTTCACGCTCGCCGATGGATTCGATGCCGATGTGGTTGCCACCACCGTTTGCCGTGACGTCCAAGAGTTGGAGGAATCCGGAAACAGCGATTGTACCTTTTCTGTGGAAACTGGTACGGGTGCAGAAAGTACATGTGCCTTTTGCTCGTACAATCCTTCTGCTTCGTGTGGCTCGGAAGCCGATGTCGCTGGTGCATTTCCCTTTGCCGATTGTGGAGATGGCAACATCTTCAGTCCTTGCGGTAATGTTGGATTGACGGGAGTCTATGCCGACTATGAAAGAATTATCATGACGGCCGTGGATGGAGGCGGTGTCGCGGATGTGGGTGAATGTCTGGGCGAAGGCATTGATGCTGCCGATGCTCTCACCGCCATTGATATGGAAATGGACGTCTTCACTGAGAATATTACTCTTCAAGGTGGTGAAAGGCAGCTGTATCGTCTTCCCGTCAACAACACCATCCATAGGAATGTCCTTTGTAACTTCTTTGGAGAGACTGGAGACCCTGACTTTCGAATCCGTTCCAACACTCCAGACGGTTCCACCAAGTGTTCCCGAACCCAAGGAGGAAGTACTCCAGAAGCGCGCGAGGGTGACTGCTCCGTGACGATCTATGAGGGTGATACGGTTTTGTACCTCGAGGTGAATGCCTTCGGTACCAGAACGGTCGAAAATGTTTGGGTCCACTGCACTCCGTATGACCAAAACCTCTACATGGGTGACACCACAACTTTTGACATCGCAGCCGACCAGACCAAGTGGCTCCGCTTGGATGTGGAAGGCAGAAATCAAACGATTGGATGCACCCTGAAGGGCGACAACGGTGATCCTGACATTGCGTTGCATTTGGAAGCCAAAGATGGTGATGCGGGCTGCCGCTCCGAAAGTGTTGGAGCTCTCGAATACTGCGAAGTGAGCGTTCCCGAAGGATCCTACAGTCTCTTTGTTGCGGTCTATGACGGAAGTTTCACTTCTACAGCTATCGAGAATATTGCCGTCAGTTGTGGACCAGTCTATGAAGGCGCTGACGAATTCATTGAATTGTATGACAGATCCGAGCCATTCAATCTCTCCACCACCCCGATCAGGACCTTTGCTATGGAGATGTCTGGAGAATTCGCCTTTTGCGACTTGCGTGGAGTGAACGGAGAATTATTCAACAACACCGACATTGATTACTACGTGGAAATTGGTTCCCCACCAGACGTCGAAAATTACGCTGCGAGTTGCCGCTCGGGAGATTTCTTCAGCGACCAGGAGGTTTGCTTTGCATCCGGTAACCCCAACCAGCGAGACGTTGTTTACGTCTCGGTCGTGTCGTACGCAGGCGTGGAGGATACAAACTTGGTTCTCCGATGTGTTTCGCCCAACTACATTCGTCTCAACAGTACGTCATACAATTTCAATCTGGGTACAGATGATTTCCGCTCGTTTGTGTTGGATGTTCCCAGTGATGCCGAAAGCATTGCTTGCAGAAGCGAAGCCGAGGATGGCGGTGATGTTGATCTTTGGATCAAGGTTGGTTTGGAAGATGCGGAATTCGACTGCATTGCCAACAACGCAACCTCTTTTGAAACTTGCTCCGTTCCCATTGTGACCACAACCGACGAAGAAGACACAGAGACTGTGTTTGTGCTTGTCTACGGCTACAACGCAACGGAAAGCGTCAATATCACTTGCGTGGCGGAAATGGTTGATGTGGTAGACGCGCCGCCGGCGACAACCAGCAGGAGCGGAAACCCAGACGATCCCATTCGCAAGCTCTCGCTCACGACGAAAGACGCCAAGCGCTTTACTCCATCCAACATGCAGTTTCTTCGCAACAAGAAGCGTCGTCAAGAGTAAATAAATCGGATGGTCTGTCATCATTGTGACCAAGGCAAACAAAACAAGATGTGTGTGTACCTGAAAACCAACCAACAAAACGTCGGGATGATTGCTGTCCGCAACTTGAACGGGTTCTCGAGAAGTAGTGATTAAAATAAAACATATTTAGTTGAACATGCTCGCTGCGGTGACTTGTCTATCTTGCTCTTGTGCTCGGGATAAACGCGAAGCAGGCATTGTGGTCAAGCCCATCAGGGTTCTCTCTACATTTCCATCCACGGACCCAAGCTCCAGTCCATCAAAGCTGCCATCAGTATCCCCATCGTCAAGCCCATCAGGGTTGCCCTCCAATAATCCCTCTACATTTCCATCCACGGACCCAAGCTCTAGTCCATCAAAGCTGCCATCCGTACACGTATCCCCGTCATCAAGTCCATCAATCGGACCTACTAGTCCTGAATTTCGACTCTTCTTTGCTTCTAAAGGCATGGCCCTCACTGGCTTCTGTAGATATCTTCCCACTCTAAATTGCAAACTTGCCGGCGAGCTACACGTAGTGCACCTAAATTAGTACTACTAGTAATAGCAAGCCTTCCTACGGGTAGATTGTCTTTCGTCTACTTGACTACTTCTTTCCTTTCTTGACTTTCCCAGCAAGACGAGCAACTTTCTCGGCCTTGGCTTTGGCCGCCGCCTCGATCTTCTGTTGGCGAATGGCTGCTTCCTTTGCTGCTTCCTCCTCCAGCTGACGAAGGATATTAGCCTTGTAATCATCAAAACCAGCCTCCCATTTGGTGACGCCTTGCTTTTCGACAACCCAGAGATCACACTCGCAAAGGTCGATTAAACGCTGGTCGTGAGTCACCACAACAATACCACCATTGAATTCTCTGATAGCGTCAATCAACGCATCAATGGTCTCGACATCTAGATTGTTGGTTGGTTCACTGTGGCAAAGCGAGAGAAGACAATATTATGAGTGAGACGACTCGACTTGTCAGATATGCAACAATCCGAACTCTTCTACATCGGGTACGTACTCTAGCAACAGAATGTGAGGTTCCTGTAGGCTCAAGTCCACAAAGACGACACGGGCTTTTTGACCACCACTCAAGTCGCGCATGGTCACTTCGTGTGCATGGCCCTCGAGACCATACTTTCCGAGCCGGTTGCGCACTGACTGGTAGGTTTCATCCTCGTAGCGGTTGCGCAAGTGTTCGATGGGCGTTACGTCCATTGGAAGACGGTCCACGAAGTGCTGGTTGTAGATACCCATCCTCAGACGGGGATTTCGTTTGACTTCGCCACGAGTGGCGGTCACTTCACCTGTCAAGAGCTTGAGTAGTGTTGACTTTCCAGCACCGTTCGGTCCGACAACACATAGCCGACTGTCCATATCAATACCAAAATCGATTTCATCGAAAATGATAGGGTTTTTTGGCGAGTATCGAAAGTGTACTTTGTTGACTTCCATGACGGGACGGGATAGCTCGTTGACTGGGGCGAATTCCAACTGGACTTTGTATTCTCGCGGGCGTTTGATCAACTCTTGAATCTCTGCCGTCTCTGATCCCGCCGCAATGGCCTGGTTCTTCTTCTTTTGACTTCTGGCACCAGATTCTCGCTTCTGGTTCTTCTTGACATTTTCCGTGGCCTTGGCTTTGCTTTGACCCGACTTTTTGAGCTCGCGTAGTCTCTTTTCTTGTTTCTCCCATGCCTTGACAAGCTGCTCGTTTCGAATCTCTTCTGCGTCCTTGAAGCTATCGTAATCGCCCTTGTACGAGATGAGTTTGAGATCTTCAATATGCAGGATTTCCTGTACGACACTGTTCAAGAAATCCTGGTCGTGAGAAATGACAAAGAGAGTTTTCTTCCACCGCTGAAGGTAATCATCCAACCAAATGACAGCATTCAGATCCAAGTGATTCGTAGGTTCGTCCAGCATGAGCAACGTCGGTTCGACAAAGAGAGCTCGCGCCAAGGAGATTCGCATCCGCCAACCTCCCGAGAACATTTTGGTTGGTTTGGTTTGCATTTCCATGCTGAATCCCAGTCCAAACAGAATTCGACGAGCCTTGGCTTCTGCCGAATCGGATCCCATGTTGGTCAATTCATCAATGACGACCTGAAGTCGTTCAATTTTTTCTTCCGATTCGTCACCTGCATCAATGGCTTCCATGAGTGTCTTTTCTTCCTCGAGTAGATTCCAGCGTACCTTGTCGGCTTTGAGTACGGCTTCTACCGCAGGTGTGTCATCGGCCACAACTTCCTGTTCGACGTACAAAAAGTCAATGCGGGGTGGTAACATCAAATCGCGAGACGCAATCATTTTCAACAGTGTTGATTTTCCACGTCCATTGGGACCAACCAATCCATATCGACGACCATGAGCAATGGTCAAGGCAGCGTCCTTGAATAGAATCTTTCCAGCCGCACTGATACTAAAGTTTGGAATATTAATATCCAAACTGTTTTGCCATTGTGGATCATTTTCATTGACGGCGGTTTGCGAACAGGCAAACTGTGCTCCTTCTCTCGATGCCGCGGCGGCCGTCTTTTCGTATTCGGCTTGTCGTTCGGCGGCAGCTTTTTGTTTGAGCAACTTTTTGCGTTCCTTGTTGCTGAGTTTTTTGCCGTCTTTTCCTGCGAGGAGCTGTATGAATATATGAATGTACTAGCTATGTCAGAAAGAGACCACACACATCGATTGAGTCCAACCAAAGAACATGCAACACAAACTTACATCATCAATTTCATTGGTTTTGTTTTCGGCATCCCTTTGTGCATGACTCTTGTCGGTCCACGCATGATCATCGGGAGCTCCATATACGACATGTTCTTCTCCACCATCTTCATCCTCCAAATCAGGTTCCACTTCCGTGGGCGGTGCGGGTGGTGGTGCCAATGCTTGTCCTCTCTTTTTCTTGCCCGCATCCACTGGCGGCGCTGGAGCAGGCGTCGCCCCTTCTTCCTCTTCCTTCTTTTGGAGTGCCGCTTCGATTTGGAGTTCCAATTTGGATTTTTGTTGGGGGGCTGCTTCGCCATTTTCTGGGTCGCCTTCAGCATCTTTTTTCTTTTTCTTTTTTTCCTTTTTATCTTTCTTTCCTTCCTTGTCTTTTTTCTTCTTTTTCTCCTTTCCTTCTCCATCCTTCTTCTTTTTCTTCTTCTTTTTGGGTTCATCGTCCATAATGACCATGGCAATTTGCTCGACTTCTTCATCTTCGTCGTCGTCGTCTAAATCTTCGTCTAACTCTTCTTCCTCTTCTTCCGAATCCGACGCTGCCATTGCCGCCATGGCTGCCATGCGACCTCCTTTCTTTTTGTTGCTGTTTTTCTTGGAGACGGGTTGAGGAACGTCGGGTTCTTCTTCCTCTTCCTCGTCGTCGTCTTCACTGTCCGAATCGGGTGCCAACGCTGCCATGCGACCTCCCTTTTTCTTTGGATTGTTGTTGTTCTTTTTGCCCTTGGCAGGAGGCAAAGGCATGTCATCACTGTCACTGTCGCTTCCATATTGATTCTTGGCGGCTCCACCACCCAACAACGCCGCCAAATCCTCGTCATCGTCGTCGCTGTCGGCTTGTTTTTGTTTTTGCTGTTGTTTTTGCAAACGTTGTTGCTTGCGAGACAACTTTTTGCCGCCTTCTTCGGCTGCTGGGGCAGGAGCTGGAGCATCCTCCTCGTCACTGTCGTCACCGCGGCGTTTGCCGCCCTTGTTCTTCTTGCGAGCCATCTTTTTGCTTGTTTTGGGTTTGGTTTTGGTTTGGTTCGGTTTGTAGAGTTCTGTCGAGAGTTGGTTGCCTTTGGCTGGACAAGAGTAAAACAAAAATGACGCAAGGAGCGGCAGAGTGATGCACGAAGGCGCAAGTTGAAGCTCTCTCTCTTGGCCGCGAAGTGGACTGCGAGACGTGTAGCATCGGACGAAGGCCAGGCGAGATGAGATGGGTTTGAAGAAGATTGTGGGAGTTGATTGTCCACCAACTTTGACCCAAAAGCCCAAGTTGTCAATTTCCGATACCACCGGTACCGGTACCGGTACAGTGTACAATACAATCATGATGATCCCCTAGCTAGCTAGGATTCTGGTGAAATCTGGGCTTGTGGTGAGCGTCTTTGCAACCCCCCCCCGCCAAAGACGTCATGGCCTGGCACTCTTTGTTTCAGTGATCATTGGGAGCTTATGTATTCCTTGCATCATCGTGGACACATCCCGGCCCAATCACCTCCTGTCATAGTGCTTGTTTGATGTGCAAAGTGCGTGCCATGAAGTGTTTGTGTCGCGGTCGCTTCTGGGCCTACGAGAGGACTCAAAAAGGGAGCAGGGAGGCAGCATGACCTCCAATGATACATATCGCGAATTGGACTCAGTTGTTTCCTTTTGGGATCACCCAAGTACGTACCCCACAACCTAAGATAGCAAGTGTAATTGTAAAATGCATTAGTACTAGTATCCGCTTTATTGTGGCCTATCTCACATACAGTGGAGTTCCAGGACGCTTTCTAAGGGGTGCAATTTCTGGTGGTTGCCTTTTTAGGGGTTCACATCCGAAGGGGACATCCTCATACCACTGTCAGACGAGGGTGCCGAAGAAGGAGCAGAAGAAGGAGCTTCCAGAAGAGTGTTGAAAGGAGAAACCATAGAGTCAAAGACCTGACTGACAACACATTCAAAACCACTATCCTGGTCCTCCAAGGTGGCAGTGGCCAAGGCCAGCAAGTGCTTGGGATTGTCAAGAGTATTGAGCTCCACAGACCAGGTGTTGAGGACAGGGGTGGACGGGGCAGCACTGCGGGAAGTTCCCATCACCTGCATATCCTCAAAGAAGGGAAGGTTGGTGTATATTGTGGTCCTCTTCAACTGCCAGCTCTTGGCCGTCAAGGTCCTGACCTGAACATCCAAAGTGGCTTCTGACTGTTCCACACCAGACCTAGCTGTGTTAGTTTCAAAGGCACAGTCTTGGCAAGTGATTGCCATGGCGAGCTCCCGGTCGCAGTTGATCCTGGGGCCAAGGGCAGGGTTGGCATATTGGACGCCAGGGTTGAGCTGGTTGAGTTTTCTGTCATCATTGGATAATGAGGGTGCTGAAGAAGGAGCAGAAGAAGGAGCTTCCAGAAGAGTGTTGAAAGGAGAAACCATAGAGTCAAAGACCTGACTGACAACACATTCAAAACCACTATCCTGGTCCTCCAAGGTGGCAGTGGCCAAGGCCAGCAAGTGCTTGGGATCATTTAGAGTGGCAAGCTCCAAAGACCATGTGTTGTGGATTGGAGTCGAAGGGGCTGCATTGCGGGATGTGCCAGTCACCTGCATATCCTCAAAGAAAGGAAAGTTGGTGTACATGGTGGTCCGTTTCAACTTCCAGCTCTTGTCACTCAGGGTCCTGACCTGAACATCCAATGTGGCCTCTGACTGTGTCACACCAGACCTAGCAGTGTTAGTTTCAAAGTCACAATCCCTGCAAGTGATTTCCATGGTGAGCTCCCTGTCACAGTTGATCCTAGGGCCAAGAGCGGGGTTGCCATATTGTATGTTGGGGTTGGGCTGGTTGAGCTTTCTGTTGGTGCCCCTGATTCCTTCAGCAGAGCAACCAGAAATGGAGAGGGCAAGGAAGATGGCGATTTTGGTGGTGGCAAAGAGCATTGTGGTGAGACTTGGGTTTCTTTTTCGATTTTTGGTTTGTTTGTTGGTGTTTTGTTTGTTTGTTGTTTTGTTTTATGAGACAAACGGGAGAGCAACAGCCGAGTCGAGTTCCCAAGCCTCTCTTGCTTGACAAAGGATCCGCTGGGTGGCTAGCCAGAGCAAGTACATTGTACGAAGATCTTGACAGGATTTTCTGGCTACTAGATCTATGGTAGATCTTGAATCGACGAGTGGTACCGGTACCGAAGGCTCCGTACCGGTACGTACAAAAGTGAGTGCGAAGCAAGTCTGCCATCCGTGCCACGACAGGACTGTGGCCGAAAAAAATTCAGAGATGCCAGGTCTCAAGGGCGGTCTAAACGATCTCTGGACTCCTGGCCGTTGTATGATCTGGACACAGGTGAGATCAAACTTGCCTTTGATATTGGCAAGTTGTGCCATGCCACATCTTAGCACGCCGTAACGGTTTCATCGCTCAATCTATCTATTGGCTGCAATGGTGTGGATAGCTATTGCCCTCATTTCTCATTGTCCCAGCTCTGTTTCGATAGTGGACCCTGATGCAGCCGACCTTCTTTGCCGCGGGACCAACTAGCTGGATCCACTTTGAAACAATGTAGGAAAACCCAGCATGGCCATCCATCGTTATCCAGTAATGCGGGAAATTGAATGCAGAAACAGGATAGCCTCCTCCTGGATCCTCAGCGGTTCGCCGCCTGAGCTGTGTACAATAATTGTGCGGCAGCATGACATGTGGCTACCGGGTGTGGATGGCAGCACAAGCATGTTTACTAGTACTCCTTCAGAACACTGGATCCGAGTCCCTTCTGAAAAGACCAGAGCTTTTACCAGTTCGCATGCATCGCCCTTCCCAAGCATCTTTTCTTGCCCTTCAGCAATGGGTATCTTTGCACGCGGAACTTCTTCAAGTTTGGTGGATTTCTGGCACTGCTTCGGAGGAGATTTTCGTGTGAGCCTTGACCTTTTTAAAAAATGTTAGTACTGGTAGCTCGTAGTCTAAAAATAGGAAGCGACTCGAGAAGCTGGAGACAATCCCAGCTTTAACAGCTGGACTTCTTAGTCTGTAGGCGATCACGTGCGAGCATCTCGCAGCTCGCCGTGGCAGCCATGGTATCAACCAGCGCCTTTAATAGGCAAATAGGCAAATAGGCAAACATGTACCGGTAGCAGTGATTGCGCCATTTCGTTTTTTGCTCCTGATAGAGTCGACTGAGTCGGGAGGCGGAACCAGCTGTCTCTTTTGCTGCGAGGGAGCCCTCCATCATGAGAGAGGTCTCGTGCAGAGAACCAGAGGTGGAGAGATTGAATGAATTGATAGATTCAATCGAATCTTCAATCATCCCAGACGATGTCCGACCGTGGCGGTACCGGTTCTGTTTGTACCCTGCACGCCGGTCCTTTGTATCCTGACTCGACTGGCCAAAAAGTGCATGCGCAAGGATTGGGGCGTCCAGCCAGGGCTGTCTGTATCGTCATGCTCCCGAACGGAACAGCAAGGTACTAGTATGTTAGACTGAACTGAGTGAGTCTATAGCAAGATATGCTCACAAGACCAAGTTCAGACAGGACAAAGCAAGAGAGGGTGATCTACAAAGCCTCGATCCCCTCCTCGTCCTCACAAAATCAAAGCACCATCACAAAAGCAAATAAACAAAAGCACAAAACACAAATCAACATGTATGTTCACTGCCACCATGAAATCTTCCATGATTGCCATCTTCCTTGCCCTCTTCAGTTCCAGTTGCTCTGCAGCACTCAGGGGCGCAGATAGAAAACTCAGGCAACCCCTTCGGCTTGGTGTCAGCAGCCCTCTCCTTGAACCAAGGATCAACTGTGACCAAAACCTCGCCATGGAAATTACTTGCAGGGTGACGGGGGATTGTATCCTATGTGACTGTAGACACCCTAGCTACAAAGCCTCGAAAAGATCTCCACAGTGCCAGGACTTGCATAGAGTGCCACCGTAGTAATTCCCCCGTCACCCAGGGATTGCACCTTTGATGCCAACACTGCTAGGACTGGTGTTGAACAGACAGAAGCAACCCTGGATGTCAAAGTCAGGACATTGACCAACAAAAGCTGGCAGCTGAAGAGAACGACCATGTCAACCAACTTACCTTTTTTCGAAAACACCCAAATTACTGGAACAGCTCGCAATGCAGCCCCTTCCACCCCCATTGACAACTCCTGGTCTTTGGCGCTCAGTACCAAAGAGAATCCCAAGAGAATGACTGCAATTGCCACTGCCACCTTGCAGGACCAGGATTCTGGTTTCGAATGTGTAGTCAGCCAAGTCTTTGACTCTATGGTTTCTCCTTTCGACACAGTCGACACCGTGGCTGCACCTTCAAAACAATGACATGATGGTGGCCCCTTCGGATATGAACCCCCCTAAGGCATGCAACCCAGGGGGCAGACGCCCATATTACTACTGATAGAAATAGAACATAAACATAGATAGAACATTGTAAACGATGATAGTTCGTTGATGACCACAACTGAACTGGGAAGTTTTGTGCTGAAGATTACAGGGAGAAGGCCATCAAAACTGCAATCTTAGTTTGTAAACTGATGTTGAACACATGTGATCAAGCCAGCTAGTTTCAAGCAACAAACACGTTGTTTGTGCATACCTCTTGCCGTACGGTACCAACTTGCATTCGCCATTCTACTATTTCAATCCCTGCATCTGTAACTTGTCGAGCTAGCCGAAAGATCAGAACTGCGGAAGGTTTGCCAGAGAGCGCGAGAGCAGTGTACCCCTCAGAGAGAGGGGGGAAATCCGGGGTTTCAACATTTGCTGTCGAGAGGACGGCGCTATGCAAGGTGTTGTGCCTTGCAGCCGGTCATTCCAATGGGTTGAATTAACCACGGCGAAACGGACCACAAGCAGCACTCTTGTCTAAAGAACTCGAGTCAGAGACAACATGAGAAGGAATTGGGGACAGTTCTGCGCCCACAGTTGGTGAAGCCGCTGGGACTCTCCTTCATCGATGTCCCCAGGTTTCAACGGTAAATCAGCTCTGTGATCTAAAAAATCACTTGAAGACACAAGGAAGGTTCCTTCGGACTGACAGAAACTCGTACTAGAAGTACGAAAGATCCTACCAAACGAAACTTCAGATCGAAGCGGAGTTAGTGACGCAGCGGATTGTCGAATGCTTCAGCTTGTTGTTGCCTCGACTCATCTGTCTCTTCTCAGGTACCCAGAAAACGTCTCTTCCAAGTGTCGGACAAGGTTGATCGCCCCCCATTCGCGGTACCACCCTCGTGCATCGCTCAAATACTTAGTGATTGACGTGGAATGCGCATCATCTAGACTCCCACCTTCCATCTTCCAGGTTAAGTACTCGGCTGCCAATTGCGACGCCAGAGCAGCGTCATGCTTGTGGTGGCACTTGAGCGCTGCATCGATGCCCCTGTCATATTCTGCCAGCACGTCCTTAGCACCGGGCGTTTTCTTCCTCGTACAACCCTTGATGTGTGCATCCCCAATGATGACTCGATGCCAGCTGTTCATTCCCCTTTCCTCGCTTAGCTTTCGCAACTCTGAAGCAGCCTCTTTTCCACGCTTCCGATAAGCACGGTTTCCATTTGTGCGATAAAGCGTATTGTAGGCGATGTTCGAAAAGAATAATCGTGGCACTTTTCTTGTGAAGGACTTGTCGGCAGGCGGAAATGCTTTCAACAACACTTTTTCTGCAAAACCATAATTGCTCCAATACACACCAATAGCCAAATAGGAGGTAATGCAAATCGTAAGAAACGCCTTGTCTTCGTCGCCTTCGTCAAACGCAGCGAGAGCGTCAAAATCAAGCGGAGAATCGATTGTGCCACGCAGGTGACGCACTGGAAGCCATATAGTTTCAACCGGCCTCGCAAGCACCTCGGCATACATTTGCGAGTGCTTCACCAAATCGGCACACCGAATGTCAAGCAAAACCAATGACGTCCCGGCCAAAAAATCACATTCCAGAGCGCAGGAGCGGCCGATGATGGCACTTTCATAGTCACCACCCGCCATGCATCGTTTGAAGGCAACGTCCAACAGCTCTGCGATTTCTTTCTGTGATTTGCTCCAAGTGTCAAAGATGGCTGTGCGGCAATAAAGGACCCAGCCATACAGGCCTCTTTCGGGGCTTTGAGCGGCCATTGCAACGGCCAGGTCGGCAAATCTACGGGCGCCCCCATAGTCTCCCGTCTTGTCGCAAATGAATGCGTACGCCAGGAACATGCGACCAGTTTGTGGGAATTGGCCATGGTGGAAACACAAGAACAGAGCTTTAAAAACCAGGGCAGCCAAATCCATAAGACGGTTCGTGTACACGCACTGTCTGATGGCACACCCAAAGAGCTCTATGGCGAGACCAAGCTGTACATCCGTCGACGGAGCCATCGTTAAAATCTCTTCGTCGGTTTTGGCCTTGACAAAGCGTCGGACGTACATCAAATCCCGCACCAAGCCCACTTTCATTCCGATCGGTGTTTTTGGGTAGAGCCCCATCGCCTGTAGGGTCCCACTGCTGGACAAAAAGGACTCTTCGTGGCTCTTTTGGCGGCCAAGGGCTTTGGAATACGACAATTGCGTCGACAGTTTGTCCTCAATGGTCCTGCCACGGTCCAAAACCTCCTCGGAGACTTTAAAGCCAACATCCCAGTTGCCTTTGGCAAGTTCCGCATCAGCTCGCAACGAGAACACCTCGAGCGTCAGGCTGTAGTGGAATGTCCAGGGGTCTCCCTGTTGCGTATTGTTCTGTAGGTGTGCCGTGGCCTGTTCCAAGTATTTGGACGCACTGTCAAACGCTGCTACCCAGACACACCGTTCTCCCGCTTCAAAATTGAGTTTGGTGAGGAAAATGGCTTCCTCCTCATCCTTGACCGTTTTGGTGGCGGCATTCATGTGATCTGCGGCAGCGATCGTCATCCAATCCTGTCCCAGGGCAAGATCTTGGCTGACTGAATACAGCAACATGCCCAATTTGCGGCGCAAGCCATCCCTTTCAGTTCCCTCTGGTATCAGAATGAAAGCCGCCTCTTTGATTCGGTCATGACTAAATCCATACTGCGTGGCCCCTGTGCCATCCCGCACCAAAAACCCATCATGGATGGCCTTGTCCAGTTCCTGGATCATTTCTAGATCCTGAATCATGCCTGCGCCATTGTTGTTATTATTGCTGCTGTTGTTGACTGTCTCAATATTGCTGACGAGGTGCTGGAGTAGCTTGAGGGAGACCTTTGTCCTGGATACATAAGCCATTAGAATGAGTATTCGTCGCAGCAGGGGTGATTTTTCGGCTCGTGATTGAATGCGTTGTGCCACAGCATCCAGGACGTTGTCCA